GGGGTCAGTTTTCTATAGAAAGTCCAGCTAGAAGGTACACACCTTTGGCAGATCGCCTTCGTGTCGCCTTCTCTTATCTCATCAACTTATCGAAGTCCAATTTATCGTTCACCTAATTTGTCATCCAAATATTCTCTGATTAGAAGATCCAAGACAACTATTTTACAACTATTACGTTAAGTTCCTACTGTATTATCCTCACACACTATTCCAATGGTGCTACGTCTTGCAAAAAAATCTATATTCTTCACGTTTATTTAATTATTTAGAAAACCTTAAACAGCCGCTATTTTGTTTTCACATATTTTACAATCGTGAAGTCAATTGATAGGATGACAAGCATGGAGATCCGCAGAAAATTTTCCAGGTGGCAAAGATTGAAGACAAATAAATTATATTTAATTCTTTAATTTTTGGGGTTTATCGATCACTTTTACGATTATACTTCAAGGAATTTTTTACTCGATTCCACAGAGGGGAAAGTGTCCTCCTCTGCGGACGCTTATGATAACAAGGAATAACACAATAGCTTAGATGGTACGTAATACGATGCCATACCTCATTTATTATTTTTTTTTTTATTCTCTTATTTTGATAGACTAGTTCCTTTGTCTTATTTTAATAACTTTTATTTTAGAAAGGCTCCTACATTTTCATCAATTATAAATATAATTTTCAAAGCACATCATGTTAGTTCGAAGTTATCTGTAGGACTACCCTAAATTCTTTGTAGAAACTTTAATTTCCCCATCTGCTGACTATTGAAAGTCACTAAAGTGATTCTCGATACGTGCTTTTACTTTTAAGATAAGATTTAATTGACAAATTTTTCTTTAACAATACTCGAAAACGAATTATCGCATGGACTTGGAAAAAAGGCACGCCATTCCAAGTCCATCGTTCAACAAATTTACCATCCAGATATTCTCTAAGTATAAGACGCAAGACACAATCCCATATATAGTTACTTTGTGATTCCCTTATATAGTTTAGCAAGTCACTTAAAGGATCTAAATTTCACATAGGCTATATTCTATTTACAATATGTACTTAAAGTCTCGAAATGCTTAAAACATACCAAAAACCTGCTCTATATTGTGTCTGTAACATTATATACGACCCAATTAGCATAACCATTTATTTATACTGTATATTTCATAGTAGATGATGTGTCACTGTACCCTTTCTAATTAAATCAAGCATGCAAACGGATAAACTACAGTTTGCATGTCTGGATCCATTAAAAACAGCACACTAAACTTTATTCAAATTGGTAACAAGTAGAAAAAATCAAAACAGTATTCTATTTACAGTTTGATGTTTTAAGTGCTGAAGCATTTTTCTAATTACGATTTTATAAATAATTATGATAATGCTATTCATTAAGTTGTATTTTAGTTTAAAAAAAGTAAAATATAAAGCTTAATTAGAATATATTACAATACATTTGCAACTTCTAAAAGATAGAATTCACTTAATTATAAATGTGCAAGAATCTTTCATAATTAATTATGGAACCATTAATGGTCACAACTGAGTGCAATTTTGTGATAAATTTGAAATTATGTTACATGGATTCTATGGAGGTAAAACCAATCTTCAGAAAGAAGATGGTTATCAACAAAGATAGTTTATGATAAAAAGACTATCCATTAATTGTATGTACAGTAAAGTTTAGGACGAAGGTATGCCGGAAGTACATAACTGTACACAACAGTGAATCAAAAGGGCTTACAAACTGTACACGTAATTAATGGACGGCTCCTAGTTTCTACAGATTTAAAATAAAACGGATTTTCAAAATTACACTTTATCGATCCGTCTGGCAGATGATACTAATATTTTAAAACATATTAAAAATTCATATCTCATGACTAAGTAAAAAGGAATTTATTTCCTTTCTGTTTATGGAATATACTTTTCAATTAATGCTCCTGTGAGGTTACCAGGCATGCCCATTTTTAGGATCATCCGGGCAGAATTTTAAAATTTTATGAAAATATCTTTGACTTGACTTTCACTTTTGTGAATAATTCCGTGTTATAATCAGAAATTAGTCACAATCTTAATTGTTATTATTTTCTAATTATTGCACCTTAAGGTTTGGTTTTAGTTTTATAAGTATACGGCAATGCGACACGTGGGCGATCTGCCAAGAGGGATGCCACCCGGGTGGTCTTTTATGGAAAACTGACTCCTATTTATGTGTTACTAGCGTGAAGAAAACCCGGAAAATTGCACGGAAAATTGCCCTTTGGCCAGGCACGAACCCACAACAACCTACCAGTGTTCAGTGGTTTTATCACCTCGTCCTTTATTGTATAGCCGTAAAGAATACTGAAAATGAATGAAAGAACTAAAGAACGAACCATATCCTAACACATTTTCCATAAAAAATCATCATAAAATTTACTTAGAGTCGATTCTATTCAAAACCAGGCAATTCGTAATGGGTAATACTGAAATGAACCAGAGAGCTCGTGATCTGGCGTTAATAAATCAATCTGTTTTAAATAATTAGTTTTAGTTACGCAGAAGTCTCACGTCACTTTCGGAATAATCTCGTATCAGCTGTAAATATCACATATTATATGCATCCTCTATTATAATAATCCATGATAAATTACCTAATACAATATTGTATTAATGTAAGACGGTATGTAATGCCGAATATTTATACATTAAAATTGACAGTATGAATATATATATATATATATATATCTTATAATATCCATTTCAATTCAAAATGCAATATAGAGTTTCAGATAGAATTGAGATGTAGCGTCATACGCTTTTCATTCTAACTATCCAAAGTATAGTCATATTTTTACGTCGCAAATGTTTCGAGATTGCATTCTAGTAAACGAGTAAAGAAGTAAAGAAATATGCAATCAATGAATACTTTGATATTCGAAAGAAAATTACTATATCCACGAAAGATAACATGTTGCAGTCTGCTGATAAAATTTATAATTTAGAATTATCTTACTCCATGCATTAAAATTATCATTTTGCATTGCAGTTTTTAATGAGAGGCGAATTTGGAAAGTAGTTCAATACATACTTGCTTGAGTGAATATATTGAACATTTTCCATCGAGAGTTATATGGGATAAGCGAGATATTTCACGATTTTCTTAGATCATAGAATTGTTTATCTCAATGGTCCTCAATCTTTCTGAGCAGTGACATATCGACGAGCGAAGCATCAAAGATGCCATTGTATATATATTAATAAATGCGACATTGAAGATTTGTATATATATATATATATTATAT